AGGTACAAGGACATTATCTCGGGGAGATCTGAAGTGGGACGGGCGCAAACTGAAGGAATAAACTGGGGAATTCAGAGCGGACCTTGATTGGCTTGCTTTGGGCAAAATCTAAAGGCTAGATTTGCATCTCTGCATATAAATGAACTGATGCAAATCATATGCAGATTTGGGCCCTGCCCAAAATCTTATACATACCCAGAAACTATGTTGCAGCCCCATCCTCCTGACCTAGAGGTTTGCTCCTTGCTGATCCGGACCCTGATTCTTTCCTTGGCATTTGCAATTTGGGCTGGGAGAATCCCCTGCCTGAACCCCTGGAGAGCTGCTGCCAGTCAGGGTGGCCGACACTGAGCTGGGCGGACCTCTGATCTGATGTGGTAGAAGGCAGATTCCTATGTGCCCTTTTATGTCTTTGTCTAGAACCATGAGGACTAGAGCCTTGCTTCCGTTTCAGGGGCAGTGCCATCTCCAAGAGGGATGGGGAAAGACCTTCGTATGAAACACTTGAGAGCTGCTGCCAGTCAGTGCAGACAACACTGGGTTTAATGGGTTTGACACAGTAGAAGGCGTCTTTCTGTGACTCCCAAAGCTGCTTTGCAAATGTGAATAGGAAGCCTCCGTTTCTCTTGACACCCAGCTGGGTTCATGTTTTATATTGTCAACCGCCCTGTGGTCCTCGGGCAAAAGGCGGTATAGGAATTTAATAAAGAGCAGCAATAATTTCACACACACCCCCGTTATGCCACAGAAGGTCCCTAGCAAAACACACAGCCTTCCGAGGCAAACAGAAAGCCATCTGCAGTACAAATGTCTTTCTAGCAGGAAGAGCTGTTCAAGAGTGGAGCAGATTTTCACTGGCACACACAAGGCAGCCGGCAGGCAGGATGGCATACGCCAAGGCCTCCCAGCCTGGGCGAGCCTCTCAGCTCTCTCCTCCTCCTTCCATCTTGAAGAAATGAATTAAGTTGCAGGGAGAAGAAAAGGAAGATTAATCCTGGAGATTGCGCTGGCAAAATTAGCGGCAGAAGAAAATGACGAGGCTTTGATACACCTTTCCCCCTCCGGCGCACAAAGGGCCACGACTTTCTCAGCCGTCAGCCCCTGAGCGGAACGGAGGGAGCAACGTGCGAAGGGATCAGTCCCCGATTTCACAGGCTTATTCTCCCTGATGACGACAGCAGGTGGGCGGCAATTCTCAGCCTGCTCCTCTGAGACGGGGGCAAGGTGGGCAAACCCATTTCACACACACACCCCCAGAAGGGGAACCAGAGACCAGAAATTGGGACAATTTATAGATTCCTAGAATTGTGGAGTTGGAAGGGACCCCCCAAGATCATCTAGTCCAACCCCGATCAATGCAGACGTCGCAATGACCCTAAAGGCAAGTCCCGGGACTGCAATCTGGGAAATACGAAAAACAAAACACACACACACACACAGAGAGAGAGAGAGGTTTAAATAGATTGAGATTTCAATCAGCCCTGGCAGAGTGGGTGTGGAGGGTGAATCACAGGCTTATGAGATAGCCCTTATACAAGCTGATTCTCGCAGCTTTGCAAAATGGGGAGAACCAACTCCGGCCTACTTTGAAAGGCTGTTTGCAGAGATTACTGAGAGAGGTTTTGGGCAGAGGCAATGCTGGGTATCAGTGCAGGTGGCAAGATTTCAGAGCAGGGGGGACATCTTTGGCCCCCCTCCAGAGGCCATGAGGCTCTCTACTCCCATCAGCGCCCAATGGGCAGAGCAGAGGGGTGTCGGAGCCCAGCAATAACTCCGCCCTCGATTTAGGGAGCCAGTCACTGAACACAACTGAAGGTCTGCCCAGATGTTTAGAAAGTTGGTGAGAGCTTTAATGAGCTCTTCGTCTATTGTTGTTTTAACTTTTTGAGAGTGGCATTTTTTCCTCTAGTGATAATATTACTGCTTTCTTTGCAAACCATTTTGAGGGAGGCTTTTTACAAACAAAACAAGCAGTGCCTAAGTTTTAGGAAGTAAATAGATGAGGTCGACAGAAGGCCAGAAAAGGAGATTTAAAAGAATGGGTTATAGCCTAGCTTTTACTGAAAGTAGATCCTTTGGAAGGAATGGACTTAACGTTACTCAGGTCAAGATATGGTAGAGGAGGAGGAGGAGGAGGAGGAGGAGGAGAAGGCTTTCCTGTGGCTGCTAGCCAGGGGGGTTGTGTTCTTCCTCTGCTGTCAGAGGCATAAAAACAGCCAGTGGATCAGGCAAAACGGCCACATCCAGCGGCCACATGCCCTTAAGAACCTAGGAATCCAGATAGACTGCCTCTGGAACTGGAAGCTCCATTAGAACATCAAAAGAGCCTGCTGAATCAGGCCAAAGCGTAGGAGCGATTTCTGTAGTTTAACCATTTGCTGTATGAAGAAGTCCATCCTTTTATCAGTCCCGAATCTTTCCATATTCAGTTCTATTGGACGTCCACAAGTGCTAGTGTGGGAGAAAAGCTTTCCTTCACCCCCTTTCTCCAGGCCAGGCTTGATTTTATAAATGTCTATCATTCATGTCGCTTCTTCCTCGCCTTTCCGCTAAACCCAAAATTCCCAAACGCTGCCGCCTTTCACCATAGGTGAGTTGCTCCATCGCCTGGACCATTCTGACTGCCCTTTTATCAACCTTTTCCAACTCTGTTTTGAGTTGAGCTGACCAGAACTGTACCAGGCCTCCCGATGCAGCTGCATCACAGATTTGTGCGATGGCATCATAACACCGGCAGCCTCAATCAATATAAGATTAGGATGGTGGAGGTGAATAAGTCACCTGGCTGCTTGTCGCCTCCCGCACCCAGTCCCAGAAGCCTCCAACTGCCTGGGGCACCCTTGGCCTGGGATGGCACCTGGTGCCTGTGTGGGCCGCTCTGAATGTGGCCAGGATGCCAATCCTTTGATAGCCTCCTCCATTTCAGCAGGTGAAAAACAGCGGTGGATGTGCCCCTTACCCAGAAAAAAGGGCCTGGAGGCAACTGTGGCCGCAGGCTTACCAAGCCCCCGGGTCTCAGCAGCCCATCCACCCCTCTCTATCCCTCCCCTCCTGCAGCGGGGCTCGGTCTTCCTGCCCTCCTGATGCCAGGGACTGCCAGCCAGCTCGCCCAGGCCTGCCTTGGCAGGTCCCAGCCAACCTTCTCCCTGCTCGGAGCGAGCGAGAGGCAGCCAGGAGACGAGAGAGAGGAACCTGTTCTCCCAAGAATGTAGCAGCCGCATGCCATTTGTGGAAGGAAATCCCTCCCCGGGTTCCCTGGCTGGCTCACAGGAGAAGAGCCTGCTGGATCGGGCCCGTAGTGGCCCCGCTGGTCCAGCAACCAGGTGCCTCTTCTGAGCAGCAGAGCCCTCTTCCCTCCAGGAACTGGGATTCAGGGGCATTGCTGCAGAGCCATCTGTGGCTAGGAGCCCCAGTTTCCTTCAGCACAAGGGAGCCTTTTCTGACGACTCTGCTCTGTTTATTAAGGGCTGAAGTGCCACAGAGGAGGAGGAGGGAGGGAAGGAGAGAGAAAAAAGCACTTTTAAATGCACCAAGTCCCTACCCCAGCCCGGAGCAAGTCTCTCTGGGAGGCTGCAGTTGCTTACTCACCAGCAGAGCAACTCCTTTGAGGCTCCTTCCCAGCCGATCCTTTGCTTTCCCAGGAGAGGCAAAAAATCCAGAGATAAGAGGACAGAGACTGAGGTTTGTGAATCATGCAAGGATCTGGGACTCATTTGGGGCTTTTTTAGGTTCAGGAAAGGGCTACCAAAATGATCAAGGGATTCCCCACCGCAGAAAGGTTGTGGAGCTTGGGACATTTTAGTTTGGAGAAAAGGCGAGGGAGAGGGACCGCGAGGGTCTTCTGGTCCAACCCGCTGCAACGCAGGAATCTTTTGCCCAACATGTCGCTTGAACCCACAACCCTGAGATTAAGAAGGTCGGGCTGTACCAGCTGAGCTAGAGGTGTATAAAAATTATGACTGGCATGGAGAAAGTGGACAGAAGGAAGTTTTCCTCCCTCTCTCATGAGACTCATGGACATTCAGTGAAGCTGAATGCTGGAAGATTCAAGATGGATAAAAGAAAGTTGTGCAGAGTTAAACTGTGGAACTCCTTCCCACAGTAGGCAGTGATGGCCAATGACCTAGATGGCTTTAAAAGAGGATTGGGCAGCTCCAGGGAGCGGCAGGATCAATAGCAACATAGTGCACCTTTCTAAGCCATGGGGACATTTGGATTTTTGAGTGAATGTCCGCAGGCACTCCCACTCTCCCAGATTATTCCCCACAGAAAGAAAGAACCCAATGACCCAGTTTAATTTTTCAAAGGATTTGAGTCCAATCCAGCAGAGTCACTCTGTGCCTTGAGAAGCACCATCGAGTGGAAGGGGGAAACCACTCTTCCAACTTCCTCCTCCAGCTCTATGCACTTTCCAGAGGTGATGGAGGGGAGTTGTGGGCAACTTGGGGCAGCATGATTGGTGACCCTTGTCTTAAAGGCCACCAGATTTATCCTGGCACCAGTTTTCGTGGGCTAGAGTTCCCTCGGTTGGATCATAAATAATCAAGGGATGTATAAAGTACTGTCAGGAGGCAACGCAATTAAAGCTGAAATAGTTGTGGTTCCTGCATTGCGGCGGGTTGGACTGGATGACCCCGGGTGTCCCAACTCTACAGGCCTATGATCCTATGACTGCAAACGGAGCAGGAGGACCATGTATGGGAGCCGTAACGTACACACTCATCCTCGCCGTCTGCCATGAGGTGCTCATCCCTTTTTAGAAAGCTGGCTGGTGGCCACCAGCCACGCCACGAGGTAGCCTTCCCTGCTAATTATGTGCTGCCTGCACCTGAGATGTCTTACTCTCCTACCTGCAGAGCCAGTGGGGGAAGACCTGGGGAAGGAGGGATTGCTTTGGAGAAAAGGTTGCTTTTGGCTTTTTTTCTGGCGGGGATCCATGGTTGGATGGGCTGACCTATGCAGTGATGGGGCAAATTCCTCTCAGCTTCAGGTGTCCTGAAGGGCTGTGACTCAGGGGCAGAGCAGCTGCCTTGCATGTAGAAGGTCCCAGGGTCAATTCCTGACAGCATCTCCAGGGAGGGCAGGGAAGGACTCCCTCCCGGAGACCCTGGAGAGCGGCTGCCAGTCAGTGTAGACAATACGCAGACCTGTGTTCCTATTTTGGTTTCATAAGGTAAAGGGGCCCCTGACCATTAGGTCCAGACACAGACGACTCTGGGGTTGCTGTGCTCATCTCGCTTTATTGGCCAAGGGAGCTGGCGTACAGCTTCCGGGTCATGTGGCCAGCAGGACTAAGCCGCTTCTGGCAAACCAGAGCAGCACACGGAAACGCCGTTTACCTTCCCGCCGGAGCGGTACCTATTTATCTACTTGCACTTTGAGGTGCTTTCGAACTGCTAGGTTGGCAGGAGCAGGGACCGAGCAACAGGAGCTCACCCCGTCATTGCGGGGATTTGAACTGCCGACCTTTCGATCGGCAAGTCCTAGGCTCTGTGGTTTAACCCACAGCGCCACCCGCATCCCTTTGGTTTCATACCCTGGTGTATTTGTTGTTGTTGTTTTCTAATTATTCAGTTTCAGATTTCAGATATTCCATTTTATAGGTTTTCAAAAAATCACTAAGGCAAAGAGTCCCAGGACCTGCAGTCACTGGCCGTTAGCCAAGCGTAGTAAATGAAATGAATTTCCCATCCAGAAGCCACAGACTCCATTCTGGAAAGCCCTCTCCAGAATCCCAGATCATTTGGGTCTGACTTTCCCTCACTTAGGAGCGTTACTCTGCACATGCTCCATGACACCTTGTGCCTGACACGCTTCCACACATTCCACAGCTGAGTTCTGGGAATCAAGTTCTGGGCCTGAACCCCTGCCCTCTCCACCCCCCAGAGCCAACTTAGCTTGTGTGGCTGCCCCCCACCCCTGTAAATGACCCCTGGGGGTTCCCTCCCGGCTCTGCTATGATCCTGCCCATTCCTTGGCGCTCGCTGCAGCCTGCCAGGCTTTTTTCTCCCGACTCAGCTCCCCAGAACCCTGGTGCGAAAGATTCCCAAACCCGTCCCGCAGATCAAATAAAGGTAATTGCAACGCAGGATGTGGGTGCTTCCCAGTGGGAGGGTAGGAGTGGTCCCAGGTGGGGCAGCAGAGGGAACGCATGAAAGGCACAGCACCAGGCCACACCCGGCATAAAACATGCTGCCGCAGCCAGAGACAGAAACCATTAGGGCGGGTCACGGCACACACCTTCCTCGTAAAAGGAGGAACATGGCACTGTCCCAGGATGAGCTCAAGGGAAGGGAAGGATCCCGGAGGAGAAGGAGGATGAGAAGGTGCAGGAGAGGATGGAGAGACCTGACAGAGGGGACCCTTGGCCCAGAGGTACCCACACTGACCACCAGCGCCAAAACGAAGCAAGATTCTAGTCCTCATGGTTCCGAATTAAATAGGAACATCGGAAGCCGCCTTAGATGTTTGGTGTTGCCTGCACTGACTGGCAGCAGCAGCAGCTCTCCAGGGATTCAGGCAGGGGGGTCTTTTGTCCCAGCCCTGCCTGCAAATTGAACCAGGGGCCTTCTGCATGCAAAGCAGCTGCTCTACCGAAGCAGCTTTCCCCCCCGAAAGCGAAGCAAGATTCTAGACCTCAGCGCTCCAGATAAAGTGCTGGTTGATAAGGGGCAGAAGTTTGGAGGAGGAGCTTTGGCTCAAGCACTCCAGCTCCCATCAGTCCCAGCCCCAAGGGATTATGGGAGTTGTAGTCTAGTTGCAAGAAGAGGGCAAAAAGTGAGCACGTCAGCCGCCAGGGATGGAAGGGTTTGCCCTTCTCTCATTCGCCCCCAGTCTTAAATTCAGGATCTCCACATTTCTGTGGAAATATGGAGATTGTTGTTACCACATTCACTCGAACCCAGTGCTCACCTTTTTTTGGCCAGATTACGTTGCGAAAATTAAGATCCACATTAAATTCGATGGCACATTTGCATTTGCCAGCAAATACTTTTTGGGGTTTCAAGGTTCTGAAAATTGAGGTGCGCATTGGATTTGATGGCACATTAGACTCGAGTAAATACGGTATTTAATCCTCAGCAATTTAGTGCAAATGTCTCTCAGTTGACACCATTTTGACTAGCATATTCTTGGATGCAAGCCACTTTTCCCTTTTAAAGGCCATTTTCACGGATGTCTTCAGTTTCATGCACACCCACCCACCCCACACACAGCTTGTTCATTTCTGCAAACTCTGCTTGGTTGGCGAATGTGATAGCTCAGCTAATAGAGCATGAAACTCTTAATCTCAGGGTTGTGGGTTCAAGTCCCACATTGGATGAAAGTTTCCCACATTGCAGGGGGTTGGACTAGATGACCCTTAGGGTCCATTTCAACTCTACAATTCTTTGATAAAGTGGGAGTTAATGTTTTTGTTTGTTATGCAATGTTGTGTTTTTAGATTGTAAACTACCCTGTGATTCTCAAAGGAAGGGAGGTGTACAAAGTTAATTAACAGCAACAGCAGCAGCAATTTTATTTATTTGTTGAATTTACCGAACATATCTACCGCCCTTCGTTTGAGAATCACAGGGCAGTTTACAGCATAAAAACCTGGCTTTAAGTGTGAACCGAATCTGAACTCTGCTCCATCCCTGCTTGCTCTAAAGCAGCCTTTCTCCACCTGTGGGTCCCCAGATGTTGTTGGACTACAACTCCCATCACACCTAGCTAGCAAGGCCAGAGCTCGGGGATGATGGGAATTGTAGTCCAACAGCATCTGGGGACCCACAGGTTGAGAAAGGCTGCTCTAAAGCATCATGGAGACGCCTATTCCCCTTTCCAGCCTTTCCCCGGAGAGGACTGACAGTTAAACTACTCTGGAAATTGTAGTTCTCCAAAAAGGGGCCTCCTAACACCTCTCAGCATCACCCCCCACAAACTACACTTCCCAGGATTCTCTGGGAGAAGCCATGTGCTTTAAATGAAGTGGTTGGATCAGGTCCGTGGCCCGTCTAGTCCAGCACCCTGTTCTCCTAGGGGCCAACCAGAAGTCCCCAAGCAGGATCTGAGCCCAAGAGCATCACTCTCCCCTCCTGGGGTTTCCAGAATCTGGTATTCAGAAGTATCACTGCCTCCAACCATGGAGACACAGAGCATAGCCATTCTGGCTAGCAGCCATCAGCAGCCCTCTCTTCCTCCAAGAATTGTTTAATCCTCTTTTAAAGCCATCCAAGCTGGTGGGCTTCATTGCTTCCTGTGGGAGGGAGTTCCATAGTCCAACTCTTTGCTGCGTGAAGAAGGACATTCTTTGGTCTGCCCTGAATTTTCCAATATTCAGCTTCACTGATGCCCTGAGCTCTCTCCCAAGTAGATCCTTTGAATTTTGTCTTTAAGCAGAGGCTTGACAACCATATGTCAGGAGTGCTCTGATGGTGTTTCCTGCTTGGCAGGGGGTTGGACTCGATGGCCCTTGTGGTCTCTTCCAACTCTATGATTCTATGAAAGTAATAAACGTAAGTTGGCTGCATCTATTAGTTTCAACGGTTCTACTCTGAGGAGGACTAGCAGTGGCAACTAACCTGCATGTCGTGTGACTGTTGGCTGAGACTGAATTTTCTCTCTTTTTTAAAAAAGTAATATTTATTTAATTTTCCACTTTTATATATTTACCTTCTATCTTATTACAGTATTTCACCTTGTTATCGGTAAATCAGTTCCTTATATTTACATTACAAAACAGTTCCATTCAAGCCTACAAACGTTTTCAAATGTTTACAATTTTCTGAATTTTCTCAGTGCAACCCAATTCTTCAAAGATTGTGGGTTGACGCTGCTTTAAATACAGATGGCGTCCAAACGCGGCCTGCTATTGGATCGGCCGCTGCCCGTCACTGGTTCTGGTCCCGCCTACCGCTGGGGCTGCCTGTCGCCCACCTTACTAGCCCCAATGGGCACCAGCAGCCACCTGCTCCAGAACAGAACAGAGCACATTGGCAGAGGAAATAGTGTGCCAGAGGAATCTCTCCTCAAGGTATGCAAAGATCTCCCTGAGATACACTTGAGGCGCACCACATTGGCTTGTTTCAAATGACAGGTTGCCAGGTCCCTCTCACTCCCTATTGCAGGCGAAGACATTGCAACACTTAATTGTACAGGAGGATGGAGCTAGGCTGGCCAGCCGGCCTGCTAGGTATGACCTGTTTCCCAGTGCTGTGGTGTTGATCCATGATTACACACACACACACTTCAACCCCATGATCATTTTTTTTCTTTTCCATTTTATAATATACGTTCACATCATAACACTCCACTATACATCCCTGGCTCTTTAGACAGCATCTTAAAAAGCATAGACATCACCTTGCCAACAAAGGTCTGTATAGTTAAAGCTATGGTTTTCACAGTAGTAATGTATGGAAGTGAGAGCTGGACCATAAAGAAGGCTGATGGCTGAAGAACTGATGCTTTTGAATTCTGGTGCTGGAGGAGACTCTGGAGAGTCCCATGGACTGCAAGAAGATCAAACCTCTCCATTCTGAAGGAAATCAGCCCTGAGTGCTCACTGGAAGGACAGATCATGAAGCTGAGGCTCCAATACTTTGGCCACCTCATGAGAAGAGAAGACTCTCTGGAAAAGACCCTGATGTTGGGAAAGATGGAGGGCACAAGGAGAAGGGGACGACGGAGGACGAGATGGTTGGACAGTGTTCTCGAAGCTACCAGCATGAGTTTGACCAAACTGTGGGAGGCAGTGGAAGACAGGAGTGCCTGGTGTGCTCTGGTCCAGGGGGTCACGAAGAGTCGGACACGACTAAACGACTCAACAACAAATACATCCCTGGCTCTTTAGAGCCTGTCAACTTCCTTCCCTCTCACCTCATGGCTTTCAAAATTAACTTTTATATCATTGCGTTTTGCACGTTTTCCAGTTCTCATTACATACATTATAAAATAACTCAAAATTTAAATACAGTGGTACCTCGGGTTACATATGCTTCAGGTTACAAACTCCACTAACCCAGAAATAGTACCTCAGGTTAAGAACTTTGCTTCAGGATGAGAACAGAAATCGTGCTCCGGCGGCGCAGCAGCAGGAGGCCCCATTAGCTAAAGTGGTGCTTCAGGTTAAGAACAGTTTCAGGTTAATAACAGACCTCCAGAACTAATTAAGTTCTTAACCCGAGGTATCACTGTAAATATAGAAAGGTAGAAAATTTCTTGTTGCGAGTCTTCAGACAACCCTGCTAGTGATGTTAATTGCTTACAATAATCTTTCAGATATCGTATAAATGTGCCCCAGTCCTTTTGGAATGCTTGATCTTGCTGGTTTCGGGTTTTTCCCGCCAGCTTCGCCAATTCTGCATAGTCCAACATCTTCATCGGCCTCTCTTCTTTCGTTGGTACTTCTTCTTATAAAGAATTCTTGCCGCAGTTGTTGCATACATAAACAATCTTTTACCTTCCCTTGGTATCTCTTCAGCCACTATACCCAATAAAAAGGCTTCTGGTTTTTCAACAAAAGTATTTTTCAACATTTTCTTTAACTCATTATATATCTTTTCCCAGAAAGCCTTTACCTCTTTACAAGTCCACCACATGTAGTAAAAGATACCTTCCTTTACATTTCCAGCACTCATTAGTTCTTGTCTTATACATTTTGGCAAGTTTAGCTGGTGTTAAATACCATCTATATATCATTTTCATAACATTTTCTTTAAGTGCACTGCATGCAGTAAAATTAACACCTTCCTGCAGCATTACTGTTTAAGCTGTTAGCATGAAGCAGAAACCGCTTCAAAGAAAAGGAGAGACATAACTAGCCTCTTCTGGGTGATTTGTCTGCTTTCTCTGGCTTCTGTTATCGCCAGCCCTGCTACCAACTTGAAAGCCACGTTATCACGCCATTCACTTGCTGGAGCAAAGAGTCAGTTAGCCTGGCACTCTGAGAGATGACCTGTGAAAAGGATTGAGGGGTCTTGGTGGACCACAAAGGTAACATGAGGCAACAGTGTGATGCAGCAGCAAAAAAAGCAAATGCAATTCTAGGCTGCCATCAAGAGACGTCCAGTGTCCAGATCTAGGGAGGTAATAGTATCACTCTGTTCTGCCTTGGTCAGGCCCTGCCTGGAGTCCTGTGTTCAGTTCTGGGCACTCCAGTTAAAAAATGACATTTGCAAGCTGGAAGGTGTGTAGAGGAGGGCAACCAAGATGATCAAGAGTCAGGAAGTGAAGCCTGATGAGGAACGGTTGAAGGCGCTGGGTATGTTTAGCCTGGAAAAGAGTAGACTGAGATAGAGCCATCTTCAAATATCTCAAGGGCTGTCACCTGGAGGAGGAAGCAAGCGTGTTTTCTCCTGCTCTGGAGGGTAGGACTCGAACCCAGGGCTTCAAGTTGCAAGAAAGGATTTTCTGACTAAACATCAGGAAGGAATTTCAACAGTTCAACAATGGAATGATCTCCCTTAGAAGGTGGTGGACTCTCCTTCCTTGGAGGTTTTCAAGCAGAGATTGTCTGGGATTCTTCAGCTCTGCTTCCTGCAATTGCAGGGGGTTGGACTAGATGTCCCTCAGGGGCCCCTTCTGACTGCACGATTCCATGAAATCACCAGGGATGTTCTGGGCACGTGTGGAAATCCAAAGGAGGAGCCTTTCACACTACCAGGCAGGAATACACACTTTGTGGGCCAAACCTGCCGCAATCTGGATCTGATGGAGATCAGAGACAAGGTGTTTTGACTCAGGAATCCAGAGGCCAACCATTCCCCCACCTCGCCCTCCTGGGCCCGTCCCCACCCAGCTGCTGACTCAACCCCTGAACCCCACCCTGGAAGACTCAAAGGTGCCGCACAAAGTTGCCTCCTCCTCCTCCTCTTCTGAGGTCATGCAGAGCTTGTGTTGCTGTGGCTGCAAAAAGGGGAATCTGCTGTGGTTTGTTTTGTGGCTGCTGTCGAGGCTCTTATCTCTCCTGCCACAGAGCCTCCCTTGCTGAGCCCACAAGACCGTCTGCCTGGTTCTCCAGCCACACTCTTTGCTAGAGAGACAGTGCGGTGTAGTGGTTAGAGGGTCAGGCTAAGGCCTGGGGAGAGAGCAGGGTTCGAATCCCCCCGCTCAGTCACGAAGCTCTCCCTGGGTGAGCCAGGCCTCTCCACCTGAGCTACCTCGCGGGGCTGTTGGAGGGATTAAAGGATGAGGAGAAGAACCACGTATTCCCCCTCCTGCTCCTGGGAGAAAAATGCAATAAATGAGGAAATGAGATGCAACCTGATGGTGGTTGTACCATCTAGAATCAGAGGATTGTGGAGATGGAAGGGACCCGCCAGGATATCCCAGCTAAAGAATCC